GTTGAGGTATGTTGTGATGGAGGATTATACCAAAAGTTTTGTAATTTTCAAGTATCTCTTAGAGTCTCTCTTTTGTGTAATAATGTTGGAAGTTTTTGTATTCTCTTAGTTGGAGTTTTTGTATAATAGTTGTCTGAATAGCCCTCCGTACAAGACAAATGATACAAGGGGACATGAGGAGCATACCATTTCGAAGGATAATGGGCACAATTCAAATACAAGACCTCTTTTGGTCTAGATAGCTTAGCTGGTAGAATAGAGGTCTAAAAATCCTGGTGTCGCCCTTCTTTTCTGATAAAAAATGGATCCCGTCATCCTGAACCAATCTTACCTAGGATCGCAAAATCTAGGTTTGTCTATGAAGAGTTGTCAAGTCTTCTATCGTTTCTCGACAATGAAGTAATCCCATGCTCGTCAACTTATTGTACGTGTTATGCTAATCTTAAAATTTGTGATATTAGGCCCCATTGGTCACATAGTGGCCAGTTCTTCTCTTTCCTTGATCCTTTTTGGTGTACCAACTGCTAATGGGGAGCACCATTCCTAAGTAAAGATCAGTCAGGGCAGTTTTCAGAATTATCATTCCTCGTCTAAAAGTGATATCCGTTAGGTTGTCTTATAATAATTGATCCTCTCTACCCTGACTAGTTACTACTGCCAACAGCTATGGACCACAGTCAGCAACTCTCTGCAAATCCCACCTCCTCCATCTCATCCTCCTCAGCCTCACCACTGTCTTCCTCCTACTCGCCTCTCTGTCACTCACAGATCTTATTTTATTTTGTTTCATCAATTTGTTGTCAACTTTGTCATAGCCCCAGTAGGTACCAAGCCGGAGTAAAGGGTTCCGGCAGCAAGGTTGTAGCTAGGGTAAACTTTGTCAAATCTTCTGACATGAATCCTTCAATAGTTCAATTTGTTAGCAACTGTCACTAGATCCACACTATTATTACTCGCCAGAATACCACTGCCAGCTCACTTCCACCATCTCCATCTTCCCTTTATCTTCAGCTTACAATTCTTCCATTCCATCTCTGTAATCATGTCCAGACCTGTGTAGCCCAAACATATATGCCAATGCCACTGTCAATCTTCCCTACAATCTCCCTGCCACATTTCCTTCATCCACCATCTCCATCCACATTTTATCCTTCTACATCCTCCACTTCAGATAGATTTAGAATTTCATATTGTTCTATGTTCAATTCTTATGGATTGAAAATGACTTTAGAAAACTCAGTCGATGAACGGAGTGGCAGAGAAGTGGGGTGGTCAGGGGTGAAGGTGTTGAGAACTGACTGGAATTTTGCAAAACGAGTATTGTTTGATCTACCTGCCCACTGTTTTTAACTTTTTCAGTGCTGTTTTCTTCAACCAAATAGAATGCAAATCAGTATTCTTAATCCTAATCTAGGTAGAATTCTGTTTTGGTGGCTGGCTTTCCTATTCTGGGTAATGTTGCAAATTGAACGACTCCTAATTTAGCGGGAAATCAGATTGTCAGTGTTTTGAATCTTAAGCGGTGGTTTAAAATGTGTAACTTGATTAACTTGTTAATACATCCCTTGTGCAAGCTCATTTGAAGCATATAATTTTATTTTTTCAATGTCCGAATATGTGTGTTCGAATGCTTGCATAGATAACTGATATTTTTCTGTATGGAATTATGACAGGTCGAAAAGGTAAAACAAGATGACGCCCTCTCAGGTTTAAGTGATGTTTTAGGAGAGCTTAAGGATATGGCTATTGACATGGGATCTGAAATTGAGAGGTGAGTTTTACACTTATACTAAACCTCGTGAACTCCAGACTCGCCCCGTCTCTTGAAATCCCAAGGATTTACGCGATATATCTTCTGACATTGCAGGCAGAACAAAGCATTGGATCCTTTACAGGATGATGTGGATCAGGTGGCAATCCGAGTGAAAGATGTCACTCGTCGTGGGCGTCGTTTGCTTGGAAAATAGATAATCCAGGCTGTATGAATCTGCGGTTTGACATTGGCTTGATGAGACGCTATTCTCTGCTGTGATTTTCTTCATGCGTATAACTTTCTTATATTTGCAATGTACGTAATCCTTACATCGATTCCTTGAAGTATAACCCGATATTATAATTTTCGGATTATACTGGATTTACCTGGCCAGTATTTATTGATTGCTAATACTTGTTGTTCGAATGATTTCTTCTGTATATGAAAGTAGATTCTTTAGTGCAGTATTATAATCAAGATTAAACCAAATTCCAAGGGATATATGTCATCTTTTTTCTTACGTTTAAGTAAAAGAAATTACTCAATTTTAAAGTAACTCTTACTGTAATTTCAAAATGATTTAACTAACCATCCACAGATCCACTAGCAATGATGCACAAGTCAATCAAAATCCTTGTTGAAGACGGACCATTGCATTGGTGAAATTTTAATTCATTTCCTCTTTTCATTGTGCTGCCCCTGCACAAAAAAAGGTTGCCCAAGTTTTCTAGGAAAAGGAAGAGTTATTTATGCGTTGCTTTTGCATTGCTCATCCAAAGAATTTCCTCTTGTTGCCATATAGTATTGGACTTATTAAGTACTGGGATTTACTACTTACCGTGGTTCAAAATAACAAATTGTATATTTCAAGCAATAATTGTGATTCTTACTTTGTCTACTTTCAGAATAACATTTTTTAAGAATGACCAGGCAAGCACTAAGATCTAGAATGTTAGTCTCGATACACGATAACAACAAATTAAGTCTTACTTTTAACAGGCTTGATGTTGATTACATGAATCTCTTTTGATCATTTCGTTCAATTCATTGCTAAAAAATCACGGCAATAAGATTTTGAGAACCTAGAACGCACAAGCACTAGGGGACATTGCTATTATGATTCCATTAAGTCATCCCAAAGATGTCCTAAAGTGCATCATGATACGATTCAAGATATAAGTGGGTCACATGAATGTACATCTTGATAAGATACGGCTCATGCTCCTAAGAATTGTAGTGATTTTAATTGTAATCTGTCAGTCCTTCATCTTGCGTCATGCTCTACTGAGATTGTGTCGCTCTTGTAAATGACATCTCGTCTTATAACTTCATCACTTTTATAGATAAATGCCTTTTCTCTTCTAAACCTGCCGTATTGAGATCGTGTTACTCTTAT